GACCCTTCACAGACTTTTGCAGAGGCGTTAATGAATTAGGGGTCCTAAAAGGCACATCCATAATCTTCTCCAAAGTCTACACTCCCTCTCCTCCATGTCCACGCACACTCCCTGCCCCCCAAATAAAATAAATTGGAAAGGGAAGTCGCAGATAAATGTCCCAGTGTCACGGGCGAGCAATGCATCTTTCACGAGGCAAAATGAGTTACTAGGAGAAAATTTTCTATGTGATTTAGAAGATACCATTTAAATTATATTAGAATTTCTTGAGATAAAAGGCAGTGAATTAAGTGAGAAGATGTAAACCTTCCTGTGATATTTGATTGCTAATGAACAGAAAGTATTAATCTTAGCAACTAAGAAGAGAAAAATGCCTAGTGTTTTTCATTAAATCAACTAAATGATTAAATGAGTTAGTCAGTGGAAACCATTTTAATTTTCTGAATATGAAATGTGCGACTTATAGTGAATAAATTCAAAGCACCTTTCTAAGCAAGTTTTGACCATAAAATGTGGGTTATAAAGATGTTTGGTATTTTCTTCTTTATAGATAGTCAGTATTTTAAATGTAGTGGCATTGATTGTGTAGAAGGCAATGCCCCTACTCCCCGGGCTTAAAGGAGTTGGCATCCAGAGCACCATCCCTAATGGATCTTCAGCACTATTACAAAATGATTGATTATTGTTGTAGTCATTTTAGCAGCTTTCAGAGCTGTTATATTTTTAATTAAATTGGCTGTGAATTTTGTAAGTGGCAAAGGTTGATAAACTAGCGCTCGGTGCTGTATTACCATTCTTCTTTGCGCGGCTGTCATAGTTGGTACATTTATGTGCATAATCTTCTTAACATTCATAAGTCTCTTTGGTCTCGGGCATTGATCTGTGAGATTACTTGCTGTTTGGAAATGGAGAAAACATAAAATCGCACTCAGGAAAGCACGTGGCTCAGAGACACATTGCTCCGTGGGCTGAGAGGAGTTTCCTCGCAGAGCTCTCAAGAAAGAGATTGGTTTACCATCCTCCCAGCCCCTCAGCAAGGAAAAGTAGCAGGTCATGGGTAATTTGTCAGTCTTCCTGATAGGCCTGGAGGGATTCTACTGAGCCAAGCCACCAGCTGGGTGTTCCTTAGAACAGGAATGGAGAGAGTGAAAGGGTCAGACACTGTATCAACTAAATAAAGAAGGAAGAGTTTGCAGAAGTAGTATGCAAAAAAAAAAATAATAATCTAGAATAAGAGAGACTCTGAAATCCAAGAGTCGGGCAAATCTTCCCGAACAAGTGGCACTGGAGCTGGATACGGTTGGGAAAACATGTGCCACGTTTCCAGAAGGAAAGCTTGGGAGCCTGCTGATCAGAAGTTGGGACAGCTGTTGGAATGGGTCCACCAAGGCAGGTGCTGGTGATCATAGCGCTCTCTGGAGGACAGCCCTCCTCCTATGACTTGCATTTGCTATGGGAAAGTCAAAACCCCGGAAAACTGGTAGGAAAGGGGGAAATGTATTCAATAGAATTATAGCACATCAGGCTGTATTTTACAATTAGCAGGAGAGCTGACAAACCATGACCCTTGTTACTAACAATTTGAAGATCAGGGAACTAAGCTTCAAAGGGGCAACGGCATAGGTTGAATGGCAGTCAATAATCTGAACATCCTAACGAACACTACACTTCTCAAAACACTGTCACTTCTGGAGAAATCACACTTTTGTTCTTGGGTGCAGAGGAGGGAACTGATTTCCCTCTTTATCTAACCAATGGTGACTAGGAAAGGCGTGTAACAGCCATGGCGAGTCAGCAGGAAATAACAGAGCCCAGGAGTCAGAGAGGCTGGGATTTGAATCCCAGATGAATTGACTGATTTTGGCAAGACAAATACACTCTCCACTTGAGCGTCCACGTTTGTTCTATGAAGTAGTGGGAGAGTCTGCATCACTGGACTGTAAGGATGGTATTATCCTTCAAATAAAGTACTCAGCTGTTGACATGAAGCAACTAGCTAACATTTGGTGACTATTATAATCACTTTAGAGCAACTGAATTAGACAAAATATTAGTAAAGTAAGTGTTTTATTCCATTTGTAGAAAAAAATAAAAACTTCAATTTTCAATGAAGACACAAGTGCCATTAAAATATGCTAATTTTTTTGCTCATTGTAGTTCTGAAGTATAAGAAAAATTTCACATTTAGGCAACCAGCTAGACTCTTTGTCACTAAAATCTTTTTAATGGCACATGAATCCTGTTACTTATAGGTATAGGAAAACGCCTCCTCCAACATACACACACACACACACACACACACGCACACACCTTACTCTCAAAGAGAGAAAAGTACTGGTTTATATTTGAATTTCCATTGTCATGGGAGGAACTCAGGCATTAGGTGCTGGGGTGATAAGGTCAATTAGTGAAGTTATGTGATATGGGTTGATGTATGTCTTTGGTACCAGAACTAGGAAGGGAGTCTGATGTATACAGTAAGGCAAGTTCCAGGCTACCCATGGCTCCAGAGTGATATCTTATCTCAAAAACAAGCAAAGAAGAGGGAGAACAACAATACACACCATAATGTTCTTGCAGAGGACCAGAGTTCAGTTCCTAGCACCCATGTTGGACAGCTCACTACTGTCTCCAGCCACAGCTTCAAGCTATCTGGCAAACTCCTCTGGCCTCCACAGGATACCCACACACATACTATTCACCACACACACACACAGAGACATAAATAAAACTGCTAAAACAATCCCATTCACACGCTATTTATGACACAGACACATATACATAAAACTGCCAAAAACAATCTTTAAAGAAAAGATGAGATTGGCCTGAAAGAGGATATAGTGACTGACCCGAAGTAAGCACCCATCAGGTTTGACTCCTCTAGTTATATGGAGCGCATCTTGACAATTCCCTTCCCATTTACGACATCATTGAGGAGGTCCTGGAGTGGACCAAACTCAATTCAGGTGTGTACCCCTTATTTCTGAAAATGATGGTCATTTTCAGCAATGCAAAAATAACCCCCACCCCACCCCAGGCCCGTGAGGAAGTGTTTGGATTTGGCACCTGCCACCTGGATTTCTCTAAACACACGTTCAGGGCAGCATTCACAGCAACAGCTAGAATATCAGGGGGCGTCTCTAAGACAGATGTATATGACTGAGGGGGAGCAGCGCATTCGTGAAAACTGCAGGGTAAACACAGCAGTTTCCTTTAGTGGTACAATCTCCATAGTTTTCAACCAGAGGCTGCACAAATTGCAGAGGAGGGAAAGCATGTCCCAGTTTCCATGCACCGAGGTTACAGATGAGGCACAGAGCTGCCATTTGTCTTTGCAGGCTATCTCAATCATTCCGTATGCCCACCCTGGCACCATTCCAAAGCCGTACTTCACGTCACCCTAGTATTTTATCACACATTGCATGTCTGACACAGTTCTCCCTGGCATGAGAGTGCTTCGGGCTAAGTTTCAGATTTTGTCAGTGGGAACAAAGGCACTTGCTGCCACCCAGAAAGTGGCTGGGGAAACATTCCTCCGAGTGCCGCCGATTTGTCAAGGTAAAGTGCCAGGTGGGAAGAAAGGAGGGACAAGCGAGCTCACATCTCGCCAGTTTCTGTGCATTCTTCGCAGCTCATTCTCTGGCTGGGCTCAGGGCCAAGATGAGCCAAGTCACAGAGCTTTCCGCGTGCCAATGGCAGTCAATCCCTGGTACGCCAAGAGGAGAAGAAAATGGAAGCTGTTTCCCAAGCAATTCATATCACCAAATTCAGGCTCTGTCATCCAGGGAGACCATCTTGGTATATCACTCTGTCTTTGCCCTGTGGTGTGGCCCAGACTCCGCTGAAAATATAGTAGTCTCCTCTTTTTCTTCTGTACAACCAATCTGGTGCCTTGTCGCTGTGTAACAGACCCTGGAAATCAAATGTCAGACATGACTACAGATCTCAGGTACCGTGAATGAAACTGTCAGGCGCATTTAAGGTGTGTAGGGGGTAGCACTCACTAGGGTACTGACTGATCTTAGTAAGCTGGCATCTAAACCAAAATCCAACAGTCTCCAATGTGACTACAAGGAACAATTTGATGTCTGTGATTTCAGCTGTTCCCACATCCTCAGTCTGTCTAAGAAGTGGGTAAACCTGGGATGTGGTACAAATACAAACCGTTGCATCTCAGATACCTATCGCTAATCCTGTTTCATATGGCTATGTGTGAAAATCACTTCCATTCCAATTTGAATTTTTGTCAAATAAACTTGAAAACTAGTGAGGGACTGAGGTTATAGCTCAGTTGGGAAAATGCTTACCTAGTATTGTAGGGGGCCCATGGTTCAATTTCCAGCACAACATAAAACTGGACACGGAGGCACATACCTATAATTCAAGCCCTTGGGAAGTGGAGACAGGAGAATCAGGCATTCAAAGTTAGCCTTGCTACATAGATAGAGTCTGAGACCAGCCAGGTCTACTTAAGACCTTATCTCAACAAACAAAAAACTGGAAACCAAAGCACAGTAAAGCAAATCAAAGCTACCCAGTAATAGGTGTCATTAAAAAAACAAAACAAAACAATGTCCCATTAACTCTCAGCTGGGTCCTTGGATTCACTTCTTGGGGTCTGAGAGCAGGCTGATGTTCTCTGCCTAGGCTGGGGATACTACTCAATGGTACAGCACTTCCCTAGCCTGTGGGTGACTCCAAGTTTAGTCCCCAGTGCTGGAGAGAGAAGAAAAGGCAGAGGTGGGGATCACCAGCCTCACAGTGCAGTGCAGACAAAGGAGAAATGGAAGCACACCCCTGCTGAGACAGCATGGCCATGAGCTGCAAAAACCACACCTTCCATGCAACAGGGATGTGTGTCCACCACACAGGAGGGACCAGGATGGACTGGGGGAGCTGGAACGTGAAGAGCTGAGGAAGGAAGTAATGCAGGCAGTGAGTGGCTCCACAGGCCTTGTTGAGGAACTTTGTTCTAGAAGAATGAATGGCCAAGGAAGCAAACCCTGGGCTGACACGGGCTGACTTTTGTTTCAGACAGGATTCACCTACAGAGGAAGGAATGGAGAGCGCAAAGCAGCACAGGGCAGAGGGAGCTTCAGGGAGGCTCCTGAGAAGCCACAGGAAGGATGATGGCAAGGGTGGTGGTGGCCAAAGCGGGGCCAGCAGCTGTGAGGGAGGGAGGCCTAGGAGATGTTTTGATTGGATGAACACCTACAGCTGGTACACAGTCCTGCTCCTTGGATGCTATGGCTCATAACCATTTTCCCTAGCAGCAACCAGGTCAGTCTGATTACTCGTCTATACTCCTTTATCCAAGAATCCCAAAGCCTTGCATCTGCCTGAGCTGAAAAAGACAAATGACTTACCCTGTGTTAATCCGTCAGCTCAGTCACCACTATCCTCCATATTCCATATTCCAATGGCCTCTGGTTCGTTCCGATTCTTTTGAATGCTGTGTCTGCAACTAAGACCCGAGACCTGAGAACATGATCTGTGTGCACTGTTTGTGGGGCCAGGACAGTGCTCCCATCATGTCTACTTGCCTTTAAGGCTTTGTGTATAACTCAAGATAATTTTGTCTCTCAGGAAGCATTTGGCAGATTCTGCATTTGCTTGGAGAAGTCATGGTGGAAAGGGGAGGGATGAGCTAGTCACATCAAGTGAGTAGAGATCAGGGTTCCTGCAGAATGTCATATAGTGCGTAAAATAACTTTCCACAACTAGAAAAGATCTGAGCCAGAACAGTCGAGCCTGAAGCTGAGACCTGTCAGGTGAAAGCAGCAGTCATGTTAAAAGTCAAGTGCTTCTGTTATGTGCTGTTACTTGCTGTTCTGGATATTATGTAAAAGGAGACAGTTCATTTGTTTCCCGGCTGCCCAAACCCAAATAATCACAGAGAAACTATATTAATTACAACATGGTTTGGTAGATGGCTTAGTCTTATTTCTAGTAGCTCTTACATCTTGAATTAGCAGATTTCTATTAATCTGCATATCGCCACAAGGCTGTGGCCTACTGACAAGATTCTGGCATCTATCTCCTTCAGCAGCTACATGGCGTCTGCCTGACTCTGCCTTCTTTCTCCCAGCATTCAGTTTAGTTTTCCTGACTAGCTCTATTCTGCCCTTCCATAGACCAAAGCAGCTTCTTTATTAACCAGTGATAATAACACATATTCACAGCATACAGAGGGGAATCCCACATCATCCTACATGCCTTCACATGTGTGTGGATGAGAGATGTAACAGCTAGCCCGATTAGGAGGGAGAATCTCAAGTGTCTCTGGGTATGCTGAGGTCAGTGGCTCGGAAGTTGCATGGTGAAAGAAGTCTATTGTTTCAGCACTTGAGAATCTGAGACAGGGGGATCACTAGTTTGGGGCTACCTTGGATTAAAAGTAAGATCTTGTCTTAGAAACAAACAAACAAACAAAAAAAGACGCTAATCATAAGAGGCAGTTGGAGACTGGGTTCTGACCCTGGACACCTAAGATTGACTGTAGCTCACCTTTATAGATCCAAGTGGTGTTGAGGTGTTTCTTCATAGGCAGAGCCACCTACAAGGAAAGGCCACTTAGATCACGGTATCTTAACAGAGTATGTGGAAATCAAATACTCTTCATATTTTCTTGGCTAGCTTCTAGGCCTGCCTGGAAAGCAAGTTTCTCTGATTTCAAAAGATGGTAGCAATTACCACTTTGTCCTAGGGGGAAAGATGCCACAAAGATAAAATATATGTTTTAAATTGCTGCATGCCTCCTGCAAGCTTGGAGTCTATTTGTGAGACATTTATCTCCTTATGCACTCATTCTCCAATTATCATTTAATTAATAAACCTAACAACATGAGGTATGCTGATCAATAGAAAGAGAATGGATGAAGCTGAACCTGAAGTATCATGGTATTGACCCATCTGTAGGAAGCTGAGAGCCATTTCTCTAAAATGAACATGCTTCTTTCCACTGAGATTCAGAGAGAGGGACCAAAATGTCCTATGACGTTTAGACAGCTAGCATGATAGGTTCCGTGGGCACTCTTCTGAGTCATAAAGGAAGGGGTACTGGGTCTCTATTTAATGGACTCAGCATTGTGGTCAGAAATGAATTGGGTTGTAAACTGAGATCACTGTGTTCACTTCTGTGGACGTGGCCAACTATCTTTGTGGTATAGATACTGCCCGGCAGCTGACAGCATAGTCAGAAACCAAGGACATCAGCCTGCCTGACTAAATACATGTTTAGAGATGCTCACAGACTTTTTAAAGAACCAGACATATCTGGAAGACATGACAGGAGACAGAAGCAGGTTCCTCCAAGGGCCTGTACTTCCTTTCCCATGTGTCCCCACCTTTCCTCTCTGAATGTCATGAAGGTTCTAGAACTCTCGATGTGAGACAGTTGCTGACAGCTGAGAGATCCTATTTATTCACGGTGTCAAAGTCACAGCGATGAGGTTTAAATGTCGCTATCATAATTTTGGAGGTAAGCATCAGCTTATGGAAACCCACATCCTGTGGGCTGCGTCTTTCATCTGGGCCTGAGATGTGAGGGAGCGCCGAGATCAGCCTCATGTGGGTTCAATATCCAGCAAACACACCCAGGCTAACTTCGGTGATCAATGTTGCACAATGAAAATATCACGGAAATTCATTAGCAGGATAAGAATCTGTAACTTTTGCTGTCTCTGAGACCACTGGGAGTGCTTCCTCAGTGAACTCTTGGACTAGGGATTGCCTTGCCCTGAATTATAGTGAAATCTGTCTTAAGTGGTCACCCAGGGACCACCAAAATCTGGAACTTGGTAGAGGTTGAACTTTAGCGAAAGGTCAAACAAAATTCTTCTAGAAACCTTGGGGGTTGCTTAAAGGTGAAATAAAAAGCTTCGAGGAAAATTGACTTAATCCCTGGTTTATGAACCGAGTAGCACTTGCTACGCAGGCTGAGGAGCACTGTCAGCTCCAAAAAGCCTGACTAATCCATCTGAGAGGTCGCACCCCCCTGTCAGGAACACAGGCTCCTCTGACCTAGGAGACACTACTGATGCTCTTGTTTGCCAAGGATACCCAGCCCCTTTGCCCATGGCCCAGGACCATTGCCAGGAGTGGAGTTACAGTGATATTCCAGGCCAGGCCTTGCTCATGTTTCAAAGAACACAGTTTACCAATGCCTTTGAGAGCCCACCTTCAGCAATACTAGCTAGCGTCTGTTCTCTATAGAAATGTTTTTCTTTGTTGGAGGGAACTGGGGGCTGAAGAGATAACTCAGCAATAAGAGCACATACTGCTCTTCCAGACGGCTCCAAGTAGGTTCCCAGCACCCGTGTTTGGTGGCTCATTACTACCTGTGACTCTAGCTTCAGGAAATCCGATGCTTTCCTTTGGCTTCCACAGGCACCTGTCCACATGTCTACGCATGTGGTACTCATGCAGACACACATGTACACATAAATTAAAATAATACAATCTTTTTAAGGGAGAGATGTTTATTTCGGTCTATAATTGAGATTCATTCTTCTATTGCATCACGCAGGGCCTAGTGTGGAAAAGAAGTCAGGTGCATACCTGTTTCTAACCCTCTCTAGAACACACAGAGGAGGCTTTAAGCCATCTTGAACTTACACGTTCTCTTACATTAGACTACCAGGGAAGAACAACATAGACTAACTAACTGTTTTCTCATAGTTCTGGTAGCTACAAGTCCAAGAGTAGGGTGCCATGACTAAGGTCTTGGTGAGGGCTTACCATGTTCCTGCCTTACTGATATCTTCTACTACTGAATCCACATATCCCAGAGAGAAAAAGTGCAGGTATCTTCAACTACTTGGAAGAACACTAATGCTGACATAGGGCTACAGAGTTAATCAAAGATTCCACCAGTAAATCTTGTACTGCAGTTGGGGTTTTGTAACATGGACTTTGGGGAACACATAGCGAGTAGCATTCTGGAATTCTTGGGGCCAAACAAAGTAGATAGACCAAGATGGCAGCTGTGTTCTGCTTGCTATCTTCCTGTAAGCAGAGAAGGACCCAGGCTTATCAGGTGCACATATGAACCATGACACATTTTGATAGCTTAGTCTGCTCACTGTAGGATTTTCTTTATCTCTCAAATCAAAGCAATATAAATGCCAGTCATAGTGTTCACTGGACCCTTGTGCCGATGACCACCCTCAGCAAGCCTGCTCCCTACAGTGTGTCCTCGTGAATTATCACCATCATATCTCAGTCATGACACTCCTCCTCATTTGACGAGATACGTTTCCATAGAACATGAGTTTAACATGCTGATTCTTTTCTGGAATAATGGAGCGATCTACTGGCACAGCAAGGGACAGCTTTGAGGACAAGGACACGGAAGAGTGGCCTTCTTCATGAGAAGAGTAAACTGAGCTTGATGGAGCTGCTGCCAAGCTGGCAGTAGGCAGGCAATGCTGGTGGCTTTCAATTATCCAGAGCAATGTCCCCAAGATTGCTTCTGCCGCTCCTACCGCAGAGATGAGGCCTGCCTGTAAGCCGCTGTAGCCTCACACTTCAGAATCTGTCTCATGTGGGACGGGAGTTCTCTTACCACCATGGATATTTCATGTTTGCGACACAGTGGTCAGTGCTTTCTGTTGACTGAACTAACAGTCACAATTCTTGTTCACTTAAGACCCAAGCTGAAATGGGAGAGGCAGAGGGGGGCCTAAGGAGAAATGCTGACACAGGCGTCTTAGCATGGAAGCAAAGTAAATCCAGGACATTTGGATCTGGACGTCTTAGACCTTGCGTTGCTCTGTAGTAAGGGTTATACTCTATTTAGGTAATCTAGCTTAGTTTGTGTTCTGAAGAAACTGGTGTTTGGAGTAAATGGCGTATCCACGAAAGGAAGCCGTGCACGCCCTCGATGCCTGCCTCACACAACTAAAGACTTATTTATGTTAATATCTTTTTTGTTAGTGGAGCTGACTTAGCTCGCAGGTCTGAGTGGAGGTGCCTTGGAAATCAGGCAAACGGCACAAACGCAGCTCGTGGATAAATCCTCAGAAGGGCTTTTGGGTTTACAGGTTTGTGTCTGGTGGCTCCAGCTTCCTGGAACCTGGTTGTTGGCTCCTTTCCAGAGTGATCATCCACATTCCACCACAGGATTTACTCTTCTGTTTATAGTGACTTCCAAGGCCAGAGCAGGACTGATGCACCGTGATGCCGTCTTCTGTTCCACACTCCTGTATGTGCACGCTACAAAAGGAGCTAGCAACAGAAGTTCCCGGAGCTCTGCAAACTTGGCTGCGGCTGGAATCGTGATGATAGCAGGCGAGCCAGCTAAGCTTCCATCACGTTCACTGCTCAGCAGCCCCACTGCTTGCTTGCTTGATTTATTTATGTATGTATTTATTTATTTATCTCAACTGCGCTACAGTTGCAGTGAAGATCTGTGATCTAATATGTAGGTTCAGCATTTTGAATTATCTTTGTCTGGTTTAGCATATTCAACTCTAAGTAACCACTTGATTAGTAGGAAACATTACTACTAATAAAGTATAAATAAATAAAGGATCAATAGGAACCAAGGATCTCTCGCTCCAGGTATTAAAACTTCTAGACAGAGTTTGACACGTAATCAACCTATATTTTCTTATAATTCACATTAAAAGCCAACATCTTTATGTACTAAGCCTGAGGACTGTCTCCACAAGAAGACCCCAACAGAGGGCCATCCAGTAACAGACTAGAAGCCAAGTTGGAAATGCTGTTTGTTTGAAGACATAAGTATTATTGAAATACAGTTAGACTTATGAACTATTTTCTTAATACAATGGAAAAATATTTGTGGCATGGCATAAAAGAACACCTATTTAGCCTTTTATAGGAGAGAAATAATGGTTATCACTGTCCTTTACTAAAGCTGGAAGAAAATCTTAAATAACATGCAATGCATGTTTATTGAAAAGGCTGAAATAGGGCAGGCCGGACTCAAGTGTTCCACGTGGGGCATAATAAAGAGTTATCTACTGTACATGGAGGAGGCATGATGCGATGGACCACTGGATAAACATGGCAGGCACTCACTGAGCAAGATAAGACTAGAAACACAGATTTGAGGGTTGTAGAAACAGCATTTAAAGCCGTAGCCTTGAAAGAGAACTTGTGGGAGGAAAGGGGAGTGAAGGGCAAGCAAGAGAGCTGAGATCAAGCGTGGGCTGCTCTGACATTCCCTGCTTGTGTGTAGGAGGAAGAGAAAGCACCTAAGAAGCTGCTACAAATGCAAAGGCCTGGGGTTGACCAAGTGTGAAGAACTTGGGGGATGTGGTTAGACCACAGTACGTCAGGAAGTGTTGAAGCAAGATGTGGTCGGAGAGGAGTTGCAGTTTCACTCCATGTATATAGAAAGGCAAGGGATGAACCTAAAATAGCAATGACACAGTATATTAAAAAAAAAACTGCATTCTGAAGTCGGATGCCTGAATTTATCTGAAAATCCTGCTAATTACTGGGATTGGTAACTTTTGAGGGTTAAATGAAGAATAGAGGAAACAATATTTGCAGTATGCTCAGATCAGTGCTAAGCATAGAAGCATACAGTATATGCTCAGTGGATGTTGGGGGTTTGATTACTATTGAGGTGAAAAGTGTTTGGAGATCAAGAAAACATCTGTTCTCGGTTCTCACTTCCTACCTTGCTTGAGACAGGGTTTCTTCTTCTGCCACTGCCTATGCCAGGCTGACTGGTCCATGGATGTCTAGTGTGTTTGTCTCTGCCTCACGTTTTGTGGTAGGAACTCTGGTATTCCAGATGCACCTCTGCTCTTAGCTTATAGGGTTTCTGGGGATCTGAACTCAGATTCTTACGCTGGCATGGTAAGCGCTTTACCCACTGATCTATCTTCTGAGTCCTGACTTAGACTTTTCAGATGATGAGGCTAGACTGTAAGCACTCGAACACAGAAGCAAGGAAACCATTTAAATGCAGCTCAGATGGTCCAGGGGAGAGAGGAGCCTCTGTCCAACTCTCTTAGGGCTCCACCAGCTCCTTTGATTTTTCCTGGTGCACATTACTCTTTCACCATGGTCTCTGGTCCAGCAGATGCCAGCAGATGCAGAGAAGTGAGCTGCCTCATGAGCCAGCTCATGGCTTTAGTCTGTGCCCAGAACCCCCAACCCCCACCCCCGGACAGGTACTGGTATGTAGCACTTACCCATGGGGGAAAAAAACAGCAGCAGTCAATCCCAGCACATGGCAGGGAGGGGCATGTGCACAGATCCTTGTCATACATGGTGACAGAAATGCTGTGGGTCTCTGGTCCAAGTACCTTCCCCAAGAGACAATGCCAGTCCTCACTTCAGGGTGGCTCCTCAGCAGGCAGGCAGGCAGGCAGGCAGACAGGCAGGCTTTTCATGCTCCTTTAAGTTCTGAGGGCAAGCAATTCAAATTCATTTCTGAGGTCACAGCACCAAACTGGGGCTGTGTTAGCCCACAAAAAAACATTAATGGGATAATGTACTTCATCATGGAGAAAGAATCAAAGAGACCGTAATGGGGCTTCATTATATCCATCTGTCCATCCATCACTTCTTGCCCATTGCTCACCACTTGACTTGAAAAATGAGACGCCCCCTAACTAATTAGATTTACCCTAATCTCCTTTATGGACCATCAATCCTCTTCAGAGGCCATCTGTGAGTTTAGAGTTCAGACCTTTAAGAATTATGCTTATCAGTCTTCCTCTAATTTAAAGTGTTCGTCTGATGACCACAATTTGAAGCTTCTGGCTGTGAGAAATGAGAAAACCATTGTGAGATTTTGTTCTAATTTTAAGCACCCTCAGTGCCGCCTAAGGGATAATTTCTAAGAAAATAGTCAAAAAGTGAAGGACCTTTGAGCCAGGTAACATAAAAAAAAATGAAAGAAAGAAAAGAGAAAGGAAATCACTGAGTGTGGGGAGAATTTTAATTGTTTTGTAATTATTAGGACATGGTTTGCTCTCTTTTGTATGATCAAATTAGAAGTTGCCAGAGCTATTAAATTATGTTATGGCACGGAGCTGTAGATTCCACTGGCATATAAAACACAGTAAAACCGGCTCAAGGAGGGACGCACCAAGAGGGGTGTTATGATGAGCAGCTATTCTGCCCCCTGCGTTGGCTGGGGGCTGTGGTGTGATCACATGATTTCAGTACAGAAGGTCACTGGTTTGAAGGTGGGAAGATCTTAGCACATGAGGGCTGCTGTAGAACCTTCTCCTGCTGGATAGAAATAACCAGCTACGGAATTCGACGCAGAGCACACAATGCTCAGGGGAAGGCCTGGTGCTCCGTTGCTTACATGGTGAATGAATAGAATAGCAGCCTGGGTTAGCACTGCTTAACCTCCACATGCCTGGGACCCTCTTGGAGATGCTGTTAAATAGTGGTTTCACTTCAGTGGAGCTGGTCTCGATCCCAGGTCAGCATTTTGAGCAAGCTCCCAGTTGGACTTAATACTGTACATCCGTAGACTCACCTGATATGACAGGAAAAAAATTATACATTTGGGGTCCTCTCTCTAGGCTTGTAGCCCCTGGAAAATGACTTTCTGCCTTTTCTTTCGTTCACCAACTATTTACTGAATCTCTACAGTGGGCCAATTCCGTCCCTGTAACAGAGAATCACTGTCCTTCTGTGGCTTCTGGTCTGGAGAAGTCTCAGTTCAGTTCAGTCCCTGTAACAGAGTGTCACTTTTCTCCTGTGGCTTCTGGTCTGGAGGAGTCCAATAGGAAGTTATGAAACAAAGTAACTGGGTGCTGGCGGCAGAGTTAGGGTAGCCAATGAGTAGAGGGAAGCTCCCATGTATGAGGCAGTACTTAAGGAATTTC